TGCACGCTTCGTGGCCCCAAAGGAAGCTTCAATGAAGGCCTCCGTGGCAGGGTTCGCATGGCGCCCCCTCTCCCATTCTGGCACACCCCTCACACCTTTTTTGGCCCCGTAGGGATCTCCACCGATGGCGCCAGTGGCAGGGTTCGCATGGCGCATCCCCGCCCATTTCGGTACACCCCTCACACGCTTCGTGGTCCCATAGGGAGCTTCACCGAAAGCCTCCGTGGCAGGGTTCTCATGGCGCTGCCTCGCCCATCTCACCACTCACGCGCTTCGAGGCCCCATAGGGAGCTTCACCGAAGGCCTCCGTGGCAGGGTTTGTTGCCAGAGCCAGGGGGTGCGAGAGTAGTTGGCGCTGACAGTGCAGTCAAGACGCTGAAGCAAGGACAGCTTTGGGTTCGGAAGTGGTTGGCTATGGCGCAATCGTTCCTAAAGAAATGGCTCGCGGTGCCTTAGGTCCTTCCATGATCGTTCCGCTTGCTCTCCTGGTGCACTCGTGCGGTGTTATGGGGCCAAACGGGGTTTCGTTCCTTATTTAGCTCTTCTTCTCGTCGTAGCTTGATTGCACGTTACGTTCCGTCTCGCACCACAGGTAGGAGAGGTGAACTTGGAGTTCAGGCTCACCGTCTGTAGTTTATAGGTCAGTGCAGCGAGGCAGGAGGCATCGGCAGGGTGAGGCGATCTGAGTGCTCTGGCAGTTGGGCGCTGCATGGGATGCTCTCAGAAAGGTACAGAGTGCTCATTTCTAATTCGTGTGCTGCACGTGGCCTCCGCCGCCCTTTCGGCGCGCTTCATTTCTAATTCGTGGCCGGAATTGCAAATGACCGGAATTAGAAATGAACGCGCTTGTTAGGCCCCGGAGGCCCAGGGCAAATGCATTCGAGCGCGCGCCCGAGTTTGGATCTGGGGCGAGCCATCCTCGATCGGGCACGCGTAGACGTGACGCGCAAATCCTGCGTGTCGCGTGCACGTGACACGCAAAATCTGCGTGTCACACGGAGCGCGCCTGGGGCGGCACACGCAGAATCAGCGGGCGGACACGCAAAATCTGCGCGTCGCACGCCGGGGGTCCGGGGGCCGGGGTGGGGACACGCAGAATCTGCGTGTCACGCGGGCCCCGCCAGGGGGGCGGAAACGCAAAATCTGCATGTCGCACGCCAGGGGTCCTGGGGGCCCGGGTGGGGACACGCAGAATCTGCGTGTCACGCGGGCCCAAAATCTGCGCGTCGCACGCCGGGGGTCCGGGGGCCGGGGTGGGAATCTGCGTGTCACGCTGGCCCCGCCAGGGGGGCGGTCACGCAAAATGTACGGGTCGCACGCCGGGGGTCCTGGGGCCGGGGTGGGGACACGCAGAATCTGCGTGTCACGCGGGCTCAAAATATGCGCGTCGCACGCCGGGGGTCCTGGTGGCCGGGGTGGGGACACGCAGAATCTGCGTGTCACGCGGGCCCCGCCAGGGGGGCGGACACGCAAAATCTGCATGTCGCACGCCAGGGGTCCTGGGAGCCGGGGTGGGGACACGCAGAATCTGCGTGTCACGCGGGCCCAAAATCTGCGCGTCGCATCGGGGTGGGGCACGCAGAATCTGCGTGTCGGGGTGGGGACACGCCTGGGCCCAAAATCTGCGCGTCGCACGCCGGGGGTCCGGGGGCCGGGGTGGGGACACGCAGAATCTGCGTGTCACGCGGGCCCCGCCAGGGGGGCGGACACGCAAAATCTGCGCGTCGCACGCCAGGGGTCCTGGGGGCCGGGGTGGGGACACGCAGAATCTGCGTGTCACGCGGGCCCAAAATCTGCGTGTCGCACGCCGGGGGTCCGGGGGCCGGGGTGGGGACACGCAGAATCTGCGTGTCACGCGGGCCCCGCCAGGGGGGCGGACACGCAAAATCTGCGTGTCGCACGCCAGGGGTCCTGGGGGCCGGGGCGGGGACACGCAGAATCTGCGTGTCACGCGGGCCCTTAAAATCTGCGCGTCGCACGCCGGGGGTCCTGGTGGCCGGGGTGGGGACACGCAGAATCTGCATGTCACACGGGCCCCGCCAGGGGGGCGGACACGCAAAATCTGCGTGTCGCACGCCAGGGGTCCTAGGGGCCGGGGTGGGGACACGCAGAATCTGCGTGTCACGCGGGCCCAAAATCTGCGCGTCGCACGCCAGGGGTCCGGGGGCCGGGGTGGGGACACGCAGAATCTGTGTATCACGCGTGCCCCGCCAGGGGGGCGGACACGTAAAATTTGCGCGTCGCACGCCAGGGGTCCTGGGAGCCGGGGTGGGGACACGCAGAATCTGCGTGTCACGCGGGCCCAAAATATGCGCGTCGCACGCCAGGGGTCCGGGGGCCGGGGTGGGGACACGCAGAATCTGCGTGTCACGCGGGCCCCGCCAGGGGGGCGGACACGCAAAATCTGCGTGTCGCACGCCAGGCCAGGGGTCCTGGTGGCCGGGGTGGGGACACGCAGAATCTGCGTGTCACGCGGGCCCAAAATCTGCGCGCCGCACGCCAGAGGTCCGGGGGCCGGGGTGGGGACACGCAGAATCTGCGTGTCACGCGGGCCCCAGCAGGAGGGAGCCAAAGGCCGGGGACCGTGGCCCCCTCGGCACTCCTCGGCACTCCTCGGGGCGCATTCCTCGGCACTCCTCGATCGGCGCTCCTGGCCGCGTGACACGCAGAATTTACGTGTCACGGAGGCGTTCGCGTCTGCGCGACACGCGAAACCTGCGTGTCAGTCACTCGGCGGCCTTGAGGCTTCAGACTGACGTGATACGCAGGATTTGCGTGTCACGTCTACGCGAGACGCAAATCCTGCGTGTCACGTCACACGGAACGCGCTCGGGGCGGCGTCGCGTAAGGTAAACGTGACACGCAAATCCTGCGTGTCACCCGGAACGCTTCGGGGCGGCCGGGCGACGCGACACGCAGGATTTGCGTGTCGCGTAGACGTGACACGCAAATCCTGCGTGTCACACGGAACGGCGACGACGTTGCTGTTGTTGTCGCCTTGGAGACACGTTGGGCGTAGCGCTTGAGCACATGCCTTTCCGTCGGCACCTCTCATTTGCAATTCGTGGCCGGAATTGGAAATGACCGGAATTACAAATGACCGGAATTACAAATGAGTGCTCTGTAGTCCTGAGCGAGCTGTGGGACGCGGGCTCGAGTCGCTCGAGAGAAAACCGGATGGTTTCGACGCTGTGACCAGCTCGTGCAATACATGCGATGAGTGGCAGCAGGTCTTGATGCTGCTCTTCGAACTGCGGGAGGAGAATGTGCAGCCCAGGGCTCGACCCAAACGGTCGTGGGCCGTTTTCGTTTCGAGTTCGTGTTGCAGCAAAGGTGGAACGAAAGCAACACGAACACCAAACACACAGTTTAGGTCGAGCCTTGGTGGAGCCCAACTTCATTCGCTGCAGCATCTGGCCCAGCGTGTGGCACATCAGCAGGCACCTGGCAGTTCTGTTCGTCATTGCTGCTCCGCGAGGTGCGGGAGGTGACACGGGAGCCGAGCTCAGTCTTGCTACAGCCGGAGCCGGCGCTGGCGACTACGGCTGCCATTCCGAGCAGGCATTTCTTTTCTTCAGCGGTTTGCCGAAGAAGAGTTCAGGGTCGAGCGTGGTCGGCTGCAGCGCCGGGATCCGGAGGCAAGCTGGGCCTCGTCGCAGCTCGGAGACAACGGGGAGGAGAAGTTGGTTCGGCAGCAAGTCATGGGAGCCTTGTATACCCTTTCATTCCATCTTTAGCGCTGATTGGCGTCGATCAGCGTCTGGAATTCGATGAGATGGCACCGATTTAGCGTCGCCTAGCGCCGCGCCGCGTCGGTTCAGCGTCGACGAGCGTCGATTCCGCGTCGCCTGGCGTCGATCCGCAAGAGGCCGACAAGATGGCGTGGGAGGCCCCCCGCGAGTCGCCGCCGAGAGCTGGGTGCCTGGATGCCAGTCGCCCCTGCAGCTCCTGGGAGCTCGTGGGCGTGGAGCCCGCGGGGGGCCCAGCCGGGGCCCCCCGCGGGGGGCGCGGAGAGGGCCCCGCTTGCCCCCCGCGCGGCGCGGTCGGGGCCCGCGCGGCCGCCCCCCTCCAGAGAGAGAGGCGGCGCGGGGGCGCCGAGGCCGCGACGGCGGTCGCGCGTCCGCGCCCGTCGCGGGGCGCGGCGCGCGGATCGAGCCGGCAGAGAGGGCACGGCCACACGTGTTTTTTCGACGGTGCGCGCGGAGTTCCGGGATCCGATCTGGAGCGCGCCGGCGGCGCCTCCGGCGCCGCCCCTGGCGCGCTCCGCGCGCCGGGGGAGGGGGGGGGGCGGCGCAGGTCCAGGGAAACCGCGCGGACCGTCGAAAGGTTATGCTTATGCCGCTTGTTGTTCCTCGAGCCAAGTGGGGTGACCTTGAGAACCTCTCTACAGTCGGCCCTGCTGAGTAGGCCGACCCTGCCAGATCAAGGGTACCTTTGTTGTGTCCTGTGCCTCGCGGCCCTTGCCTTCTCACACTCCTGTGGCAGCGCGGCCCTCCGAAGGGTCTTGTGTCCCCTCGCGTGTCCTCTCCAATCAAGCTCGACTGCTCGCGTCGTGTTGACAGTCGGCGACCCGGCCGCCGGCGTTCAACCTTGAACGCCGACAGCGACCCAGAATCAGTCCATCGCTGAACGATCTGACGTTTCGGACCCGGCCGATAGTTCAAGGCTGAACGATCCCCAGTGGTGTCAGTGAGAGACCAGCGTTGAAGTCGTCAGGACACGAACCTGCCGTACCCTCGATCCGTCCTTCCCCGAGTGCTCCGCCTGCGTCAGGAGGTTCGGGTGCAACTCCTGGGAGGTCGAGTTATGACTTCCCCCTGGCCCGAAATCCGGCTCAATCCCGCTCGCTCCGCCTTAATCCCGCCTGATCCGGCTTCATCCCGCTTTATCCGAGGCCCAATCTGGCGCAACGGCCCCCCAACGGGGCTTGATCCTCTTTAACTTTTCCGACGAAGGCCTCCCAGTGGTTGCCTCCCAACCGCGTGCTCCGCCGGCGCCAGGAGGGCATCGACCGCGCCGTGGCGGTGCACTTCGCGGATCTCAGCAGGGAGATGGGCGTGAAGGACATCCGCGGCCGCGAGCGGGAGTGGCGGCAGGACCCGCCGGCGAGGGGGGAGGCGGGGGGCTCACCGCCGGTCTCGGCTCCGAGGAGCACCACGAAGACGTTCGCCCGGGCCTCGGAGGACTCGAGGCTCCGAGAGGAGGAGGAGGAGGAGGAGGAGGAGGAGGAGGAGGAGGAGGAGGAGGAGGAGGAGGAGCAGGAGGTTGACGGCGACGTGCGCGACCTGCAGCTTGCCCAAGAGATGCAGGCTGACCGCGGCGGCCCCAGCCAGGACCGCGAGAAGGCCTTGGTGGCCGAGGGCAGGGCGTCGCAGCGGCTCGGCGCGATGGAGGCGCCCCCCCGCCCGCTTCCGCGCGCGGCGGGGGCGGGGCGCCCCCTGGGTGGGGGGCGGAGGTCCTCCTCTCCTCCTCCTCCTCCTCCTCCTCCTCCTCCTCCTCCTCCTCCCCCTCCTCCTCCTCCTCCTCCTCCTCCTCCTCCTCCTCCTCCTCCTCCTCCTCCTCCTCGGGAAGGGGGTAAGCTGTGCACTCCCACCCCGCTCCGCCCCCCCTGGAATCCGACCCCTAGCAAGCCATCCCCTTCTGTGGCGCCGTCCTCGCCCTTGCAGGCTTCCCTCCGGCCGCACGCACACGTCTCGGGGCGAGGCGAGGGGGACGTCACGGGGATAGTGTGCTGGGGGTCGGTCAGGCCGCCCGCGCCGTGGGGGTCGGCGGGGTCGCGGCCCCGAGCTTTGGCGCCGGCGGCGGCTGGTGCCGCGGTGGAGAAAGAGGGTGTGGTGGAGGCGTCGACCCTGAGATCCTGGCGTTACAATGTTTTCACACCAGGCGTTTTCGCCTGGTGTCGGGCCCCTGGGCCCTCACAGATCGATCCGGCTCGAACAAGGACTCAGACAGAGGGGGCCCCGGTTTCTGGTCTTGATTCCCAACCATCCTGTGGTGTTGGGTCCTCGTTTTGAAGAGACGGTGCCCCGCGTTCCTCTCCTTCCTCCTCCCCCTCCTCCCCCTCCTTGCCTCTGCTCTCGGCACACCTCTCACGCGTTTCGTAGCCCCATAGGGAACTCCACCGAAGGCCCCAGTGGGGGTGTTCGCATGCGGTTCCCCCACCCAGGGCAGCGTTTCGTGGCCCCATAGGGAGCTCCACCGAAGGCCCCAGTGGGGGTGTTCGCATGCGGTTCCCCCACCCAGGGCAGCGTTTCGTAGCCCCATAGGGAGCTCCACCGAAGGCCCCAGTGGGGGTGTTCGCATGCGGTTCCCCCACCCAGGGCAGCGTTTCGTGGCCCCATAGGGAGCTCCACCGAAGGCCCCAGTGGGGGTGTTCGCATGCGGTTCCCCCACCCAGGGCAGCGTTTCGTAGCCCCATAGGGAGCTCCACCGAAGGCCCCAGTGGGGGTGTTCGCATGCGGTTCCCCCACCCAGGGCAGCGTTTCGTGCCCCATAGGGAGCTCCACCGAAGGCCCCAGTGGGGGTGTTCGCATGCGGTTCCCCCACCCAGGGCAGCGTTTCGTGGCCCCATAGGGAGCTCCACCGAAGGCCCCAGTGGGGGTGTTCGCATGCGGTTCCCCCACCCAGGGCAGCGTTTCGTAGCCCCATAGGGAGCTCCACCGAAGGCCCCAGTGGGGGTGTTCGCATGCGGTTCCCCCACCCAGGGCAGCGTTTCGTGGCCCCATAGGGAGCTCCACCGAAGGCCCCAGTGGGGGTGTTCGCATGCGGTTCCCCCACCCAGGGCAGCGTTTCGTAGCCCCATAGGGAGCTCCACCGAAGGCCCCAGTGGGGGTGTTCGCATGCGGTTCCCCCACCCAGGGCAGCGTTTCGTGGCCCCATAGGGAGCTCCACCGAAGGCCCCAGTGGGGGTGTTCGCATGCGGTTCCCCCACCCAGGGCAGCGTTTCGTGGCCCCATAGGGAGCTCCACCGAAGGCCCCAGTGGGGGTGTTCGCATGCGGTTCCCCCACCCAGGGCAGCGTTTCGTGGCCCCATAGGGAGCTCCACCGAAGGCCCCAGTGGGGGTGTTCGCATGCGGTTCCCCCACCCAGGGCAGCGTTTCGTAGCCCCATAGGGAGCTCCACCGAAGGCCCCAGTGGGGGTGTTCGCATGCGGTTCCCCCACCCAGGGCAGCGTTTCGTGGCCCCATAGGGAGCTCCACCGAAGGCCCCAGTGGGGGTGTTCGCATGCGGTTCCCCCACCCAGGGCAGCGTTTCGTGGCCCCATAGGGAGCTCCACCGAAGGCCCCAGTGGGGGTGTTCGCATGCGGTTCCCCCACCCAGGGCAGCGTTTCGTGGCCCCATAGGGAGCTCCACCGAAGGCCCCAGTGGGGGTGTTCGCATGCGGTTCCCCCACCCAGGGCAGCGTTTCGTGGCCCCATAGGGAGCTCCACCGAAGGCCCCAGTGGGGGTGTTCGCATGCGGTTCCCCCACCCAGGGCAGCGTTTCGTAGCCCCATAGGGAGCTCCACCGAAGGCCCCAGTGGGGGTGTTCGCATGCGGTTCCCCCACCCAGGGCAGCGTTTCGTGGCCCCATAGGGAGCTCCACCGAAGGCCCCAGTGGGGGTGTTCGCATGCGGTTCCCCCACCCAGGGCAGCGTTTCGTGGCCCCATAGGGAGCTCCACCGAAGGCCCCAGTGGGGGTGTTCGCATGCGGTTCCCCCACCCAGGGCAGCGCTTCGTGGCCCCATAGGGAGCTCCACCGAAGGCCCCAGTGGCTGTTCGCATGCGGTTCCCCCACCCAGGGCAGCGTTTCGTGGCCCCATAGGGAGCTCCACCGGAGGCCCCAGTGGCTGCTCTCGCATGCGGTTCCCCCACCCAGGGCAGCGCTTCGTGGCCCCATGGGGAGCTCCACCGAAAGCCCCCGTGGCGCAGTTCGCATGCGCTTCCCCCACCCAGGGCAGCGTTTCGTGGCACCATAGGGAGCTCCACCGAAGGCCCCAGTGGCGCAGTTCGCATGCGGTTCCCCCACCCAGGGCAGCGTTTCGTAGCCCCATAGGGAGCTCCACCGAAGGCCCGCCCCTGTGGCGCAGTCCGCATGCGGTTCCCCCATCCAAGGCAGCGCTTCGTGGCCTCATATGGAGCCCCACCGAAAGCGGCACCCACAACGCGTTACCAACAATTGCTTATGGTTGGGTCTTTCGCCAGGATATTTTTTTTCTGCGATGCTGCAATTTGTTTCGCAGCCTCAGGCCTCAGGGCCGCCCGCGGCTTCCTCCCCCCCGTTCCTGCGCTCCTTAACTTTTTTCCATGTCTCCTCTGCAGGTCTCCCCGCCTGCCAGCGAGGAGGGCGCCGTCTCGCGCGTGGCTCGGTCCCTCCAGCGAGGGGGTGGCGCGCCAGGAGGACGGGGTGGAGGAGGCAGAAGCTTTTCATATCATGCGCGGAGGTGACAGCGACTAGCCTCACTTGCAGGTCCGCCAATCGAAACCTTGGATGTGGGTTACGGACATATGTCCGATAGACTCCATAGACTCATTCTTTCCTTTGTGCCCAATGCGGCTCCGATGCATCTCTCGGCTGTCTGTGCCGCCTCTTGGACTCGAGTTGCCGCTGACCAGAAATATCCCTCCCACTCCTCACCGTGGCCCTGGGGATGCCTCGTGGTTCCTCGGGGCCCCGTCAGGGTTTTTTCTCAGGGCCCCCCCTGGGGAACCCTCGGAGTTCCTCTGGGCCCTCTCAGGGAGAGTGAGGGGGGGCCTTCGGAGTTCGATCGGCCTGGTCGCTCTACCCCATCTCTCCCCGCCTGATGTAGGGCGGCAGTCAAGAGAAAACAGGCACAGCAGACGACGATTGAAAGCATGGCAGCTTGCCGCCGGAAGCGATTCTATCGGTAGCGAATCATGAGAGCCTTGTGTGCCCTCGCAATTCTGCCTTTAGCGTCGATAGCGTCTGGAGTCGATGAGACAGCGCCGATGTAGCGTCGATTGGCGTCGATTAAGCGTCGATTAGTATCGACTTGGCGTCGACGAGCGCCGATTCGCAAGAGGCCGGGAAGATGGTGTGGGAGGCTCCCACGAGTTGCCGCCGAAGATTCTGGATAGGGGGCCATCAGGGAAGTTCCCTGGCCGTGGCAGCGCCCGTGAGCGGGCGCGGGGACCACAGTTCGTGCCGCATCGCACCAAGCGCTGCTGCGTGCCGGCCCCCCACCCCGCCAGCAATCTCGTCATCCTTCATCGTCATCCTTCATCGTCAGGGAGGGGGGGAGGGAGGGGGAGGGAGGGAGGGAGGGAGGGAGGGAGGGAGGAGGGAGGGAGGAGGGAGGGAGGGGGAGGGAGGGAGGAGGAGGAGGAGGAGGAGGAGGAGGAGGAGGAGGCGGTGGAGGAGGAGGGAGGAGGAGGGAGGGGGAGGAGGAGGAGTAGGAGGAGGAGGGAAGAGTGAGCGAGGAGGGAAGAGGAGGAGTAGGAGGAGGAGTAGCACGCTGATCCATTGCCAGATTGTGGGCCTCCCAGATGGTGTTGGAGTACGTAGATGGGGTCAGAGGATCGCCCCGCATCGTCGATGCATCGGCAATGCGGCTCGATGTGGGGCCCGATTTTCTCAACGATGGCGTTGCTGGTGCATCGCCGGTGTCGCCGACGCATCGGCGATGTATTGCCGACGTGTCGGCGATGCGGCGCGAGCCTCCGACCCCATATATTCCGACTCCACTTAGGAGGCCTCTATGCATTGCCCCCTGTCGTGGCCAGGTGCTATCAGGACCGACCTCCTCCACTAAGATGCTCGCGTTGGGGACCCTCCTGGGGCCAACCCAGCGGATCTGTATGACTCCAGTTTGAATCTAGTTCGACTGTGGGTCGGCTCTTGGTCGACTCTAGGTTGACCCAAGCTGGGCCGAAGCTCGACCCAAGTCGACGGACGCCCGACGCAGCTGATGCACGAGTGGAGCTGGTGGCCCCATGGAAGCCCCCCTGAACGAGCCCGCCTCTGCCGTCGGTGGCGCCTGCGCGAGGGCGCGACCGCGCGCGCGTGGCGGCGCCGCTGCCACGGGGAGCTGCCGGTGGACCGCGCCAGCGCTTGCCGGCAGCAGCTCCCGGGGGAGCGGGGGAGCGGCCCTCGGAGTTGGGGGTTGGTCGTAGTTGACGAGGGCCGAAGGTCAGAGAGCGCCTTCCTGAGCAGGACCACTAAAAAGGGACGTCGAGGTGGTCAAGCGCCTCGCCGGCGAAGCCGACGAAGATGGCCACGGTCCAACTATTCGCCTGTGTGTCCAAAGTTGTCGCGTGACGCCGGGTGTGGTGCACCAGCCTCAGCTTGACCTTAACAGGTTGGTTGCGCCCTTTGGCGTCCGTTTGGGGTGTTCTGCAGACCCGCCCCCCCAGCCCTGCTCAAGTTGGACGTTGTACCTAGGGCCGGGTCATTG